ACCCCAGTAGCGTATTCCATTAGTGCAGACGGGTTTACAATTCCAATATAATTCACAGAAAAGGTTACAGCTCTCCAACAGACGGGCCATTAGCTGCCGAGATAACATACGAGTATTATCCATATTAAACCAAAACAATATTGTAAATGCGATCTGGCTATCTGTTTGTAACCTTTTTGCAAATAAACGGGTTAACAAAGCTAAATAAAATGTGACGTAAAGATAGATTGTATCATGAGAAAAGTCAAAAATACTTAATATTATAAATGCGAAAATGTTTACAAGTAGGCTCAACATATATTGATGAAGAAGGTTGAAAGCAAGAATGGATATATAAACTATCTTATATCTCCAAAAAGCAGACAAAATCGCGGGTAATAGCTAGTATGCACATTTTTTTCATTGTTATTAACTCGAGCGTGAACTATTAATCAAGGTGCCACACCACATCAAGTATACAAAATTAAGTGCCAAAAGAAAATAGATTGTAGCAACTCGGTTATTGGCCGTTTGATCGGACCCTCGTCAAAATTTGATAATATCTAACATAACATAAATTACACATGGTAAACAAAAGATAAACTTAAATGAAGTTTGTTTGCTTCTAAATATAATTAAAATGAAAATTGGCGTCATCTAAATAATTAACATGCTTGCATATAATAATAATAATAATCTCAGGACAATTCACACACACAACTAGATGGCGTTGTTGACACAAGTTAAGCTAGCTAAAGCTTGTGTTATGGGTACTAGATAACTGATACATATACATAGATTTTTTTTGTTGTCAACACATATGAAAATATATTATACATAGAAAACACCCAGACCGATACAAACAATTATATATGTATATATATACTCATATTCCTTCGATTTGCCGACGATATAAATGTTTTTGCTCAGTAGAGTCTCACAAGGAGTAGGTCTTAAAATGAACATGGACAAGACGAAAATTATGTTAAACGTCCAACCTGCTCCCGTAAAAATCGGAGATCATCGAAATTGTCGATCACTACGTATAAGCAAACTATCCAGCTAGGTAGATCCAATTTCGAGAAAGAGATCAATCGTCGAATCCAACTCGGATGGGCAGCGTTCGGAAGGTCCGATATATCTTTTCGTCCAAATTTATATCAAGACGAATTTAAAATAAAGATTATAATCTTATCAGAGTCACTCAGAGGGATGAGGACTATGCTGAGTTTCTCTTGATTTTTAGCCCGAAGTATATATCTTGTAGGACAGAATAGAGTGGCGACCACGGACCGGAAGACGCAGCGTGGGAAGAAGGTGGACCGACGATCTGGTCAAGATTTGGACGCGAGCAGTACCGATCGTCGTATATATATAATGATGATGATGATGATATATAATAAATATAAAAAACGATCATCGGTCGTAAAGCGGGTGCTAGACTGCTTGACCACCGAGGTATATAGGTATTTAAAATAAAATTATAATCTTATCAGGATGGGACGTGATTTTTTTTGTATATATCTTGTAGAATAGAGACCTGCGAAAAAACCACTTTACGTAATGCTATATATATAATTAAATATAAAATAAATCAAAAACTCTGGGCAATTAACACAGCGCCATATAGTCCCACTGTAAGCAGAGTTTGTGTATTGGGTACTAGACAACTGATATGAATACTTCGTTTTTTTTATAAATCTATACTTAGTATACATAAAAAATACTCAGACCGATACAAACAGTTATACTCATGAATACAAATGTTTGCACCGTGCGATGATCGAATCCGCGACCATCGGAAGTAAAGGGGTGCGCTAAATCGTTAGACCCTCGATCCCATCATATTATTAAAAAACAATATAATTCCTGTTATTTGTATTTATTATGTGTCCAAATATGTAAATTTTTCTGGTAAACTTTCGATTGTTATAATTTAGAGTTTACTAAATTGTTAGAGAATACTAAATATGAAAAGAGTCACACACATTTTATATTTAGTAAACACACTTTGGTCCCATTCTTCCCCCCTCTTTCCCCTGTTTACCCTTTATAGGTATGATTCATATGACATAGTTACCCAATATTTCGATAATATATAGTTGTCCTTATATACGAGTATATATATACAGGCAGGTACACTAAACTATTTAAACCACATCAAAGTGTCGGGCACATGAATTTCACAAGTGTTTTCATGCCTGGCTGACTTTCCGAGGTCTTGCATTCACTTCGACATACGGGGTCTTCCTTTGAAATTGTATCCGTTCACAATTCACATAGTGTGAAATTTGTAATGGATTTGAAGGATATTTAACATATTTCTTAAACTTATATTAGACATATACTTATCTACTCCATATTAAATTACTCTCTTGGTTTAAAAGTTTGTTCGAATATGAATTTGAATTATGTAACAGTTTTGAATTCTATCTTATCTTACGTTGGTTGCGGGTTCGATCTCCAGAAATATATTTGTATCGAAATAATTATTATTGAGCATATTTTAATGTATAATATATAATAGGTATTCCTTTTATGTGCACAAATAAACATGAATTCAATTGTGTAATAGGTAAACTTTATATTAGTATGTATGCTTAATAGTATCTTAGATTAAATGTTGTATTAAAAATATTGCTATTTAACATTGATGTTTTAATATATACATAATTCATAAAAAATGCATTGAAGCATAACAATCGGTTGTCTAGTTCCCATAGCACAAGCTCTAGTAGATTAGATCTAGGACTAGATACGGCTTTGTGATAAAAAACAGAATGAACGAAATAGTACAAAATAACAAGGTTATTTTATTACTTATTTCAGTAAAAATAATTGTTCACAGACTAAATCGTAAAATCCGATTTTACCGATGACCGGATAACAGAGTACATAGCCTACTTCGCTTTGGATTAATACAACTTTCAAACAGTGAAAAATAATCAAATTGGAGTTTTTTTCCCTTAACACAAGCCTGCTTATTTTTAATAAAGCTTTATACTGCATACAAAATATTGACTTTCTTAATGAGATTTACTTTTGATATTGCGACGCTCTTATGTATTTATTGTATATATTAATACTAGCTGACTCGAATAACTTCGTCTGTATCACACATTCTTGACTTTTATCCTTATATTTCGCTCAGTTTACATAATATCTTTTTATATTATGGACTATATATTATTCTGATGTATAAGCTTTATTACTGTAAAGTTTCATCAAAATCCGTTTCATAGATTTTGCGTGAAAGAGAAACAAACATCCATCCATACTCACAAACTTCCGCGTTTATAATATTTATACTTTTAGGTAAACAACAGCTAATAAAATATATAGGCATTTAGTATTACATACTTAGTAAAACCAATAATGGATACCTCATAAATTTATCGAAATGTGTGAACTATCAGTTACCAATACCGATTATAAGTTACATTAAATTTTTAATTTAATTATATAAACGTTATGTGTGTAATTACAAAAAATAAAGGAAAGAAGTTGATCACTGAAAATAGACAATACAGTTTCACATATCAGAGCCAAAGTTAGAGAACAGCAGAGTGTAAATATAATAATAAATACATAATAAATTTAACGACCTCGGTGGTCTGGCAATTTAGCACACCGCTTTACTTCCGATTGTCGCTGGTTTGATTCCTCGCACGGTGCGAAATATTGTATTGATGATAATGATTATTTGTATCAGTCTGGGTGTTTTCGATGTCTTTAAAAAAATTATCTAAATATTTATATCATTTGTATCCGTAACACAAGCTGTACTTACAGTGGGACTTAATAGCGCTGTGTTAATTGTCCAGGGTTATGTATTATAATAAGTATATTAGTATCAGTAAGACATATTTAATTCTAGCCACGTGAAAATATCAGACAACTACGGACTGGTATACGTTGATGTATTCACATAAGTCCTATTATTGCTACCCTAGTTTCAGACGACGGTAGGCTATTGTGCCGGCCGTCGGAAGTCACAAGGCGGACGTTAAGCTTTCAAAGCGAGGTCAACCTTTATACACACGAGGGAAATCTCTTATCTACATACTTTTGTAATCTTCATATATTTACCTACGTAAACGGATAATGTATGGCGTACGAACTATTATATAAAAAATACATCGCACGCCTTCCTTACAATATTGCATACTGTAGAAAGTAGAAGAAAATATGAACTAGACTTTAAAATTGATACTTTAAAGGCGATGTTCTGTTACTGACAATTCTTTCCATTCACAGTCGATTCTACTACATACTACATACATTTAACACTAGTTGTGCCCGCGGTTGTATTAAATTTATAGCCTATTTATTATTCTAAAACATAAGATATATTACTGTAAAGTTTTATTAAAATCCGTTCGGTAGTTTTTGCGTGCAAAAGTAACAAACATTCACCCTTCCATCTTCCATCTTCATCCACTCATACTAACAAGTTTTACGTTTATAATATTAATAATATCACACAATGCTACATAATCATAATTATGTGCGTTAATTGGTAATATTATCCAACTACAAAGAACTGTGGTTCGTAATTGAACTATATTTTTGTGATCTATATTCTAAAATCTCAATAGATTTTTAAATCTGTTTATAAAGTTTTAATTGGTTATTCTGGTTTGAATAATATTGATATTGATTATTTAAACGAAATCGTAAATCATTACAAAATATTAATAATCCACGCCGTAATTATGACATTCTAACTGTGCCCGCGGTTTCACCCTCGTTTAAGTTCAATATATAAATTTCCTTAGAAAATATAGCCTATGTGTTATTCTAATGCATAAGCTATATTACTGTAAAATTTCATCAATATCCGTTCAGTAGTTTTTGCGTGAAAAAGTAACAAACCTCCATACTTACAAACTTTCGCCTTTATAAATGATAAGATTAAGATGAATAAATTTGTATACATATTAATTTATGTAATTTTCTTTTCTGTTAGAGAAACAATAAGGAGTTTGCATTTGATTAATATTTATATTTATTGCTGTCAGGTACCATGCGGCGGGCCTGTTGGCTGTTATTGGCGTTGGTGCTGACGGACGTTGCTTGCGAGCGCCCCGAACCCGACCGTCCGTTAGATCTCGTCATTGGTGAGTATTTACATTAGTTCCTAGACGACCAAGCATCGCATACTAATTTTTTTCTGTAATATTGCCGGCTCTGTAGTCTATACTTGTAAACATAAAAGAAACATTATCAAAATACGAAATATTAGGAAAATAATATTATTTTATTTATTGAACCTATTTACGTAAAAGAATAAATATATTATGTACGTATTATGGAATATACAAGTAACTAAGTCAGACCATTACGTTCCACAAAACATCTGTTACGTAAACACAATATTGCCAGTACAATAAAACATGTTATGACGGGATATAAAACAATAATGGCCCACAAAAATGAACTATACCTGAAGATTGCTTCCCCAATAAAGCGGTTAATTACGTTAGACTCGTAGACTTCGTAGGCCCGCCTACGAGTTGCTACGGAGCGTCGCAGCACGTAGCAAATTACTTCGTAGACAGACGCGCGTAATATACAATCCACTATTGGTAATAAAGAAATTCCTTTACATTTTTTCACTTAAAATTAAGTTCAATAAATAAAATATTACACCTTCCATACTGTTGTCCCAGATAGAAGCCACTAGTCCCTTTTATTGGGAGGAAAGGGATCGTTATTAATGTGCAGGAAACGGGGTATTTATTCTACATTATAATCGTGTGGAGGTCAGCCTGACATGGTAATTTACCCTTGGAAACTTGTGGTAATTTTCCATTTTTTTTTGTCTGACAATGGAATGGTGCACCCTCCTGCACTAACGGTTTATGCTGGCGGAGCACTAATGGAGGACAATAATTTAGCAAGATGGTTTCCAGGGGGAACCACGTGGTGATCAAACTGACATAATACATTGCTAGCAATAAGATCGTCGATCCACATTACTAACTATCGCTCCCTCCCCTCCCCCCCCCACCCCGCGGTAATTTCCCCAAACTAACTGGCTCATTTTCTTACCCCACTCATTTTCATGCTCATTTTATTATCCTCCACTGGTGCCCCGCGCGCCATATACCATATCACTCTGGAATCCTTTCTCCTAAAACACATTCAATTAAAACAAAATAAACCTTCCTTTTAAGTACCTACCTATTATTTTGGACAATAATAATGAATATATTTATTATAGAAAGTCCTGGAATAAAAGGTCACTAATGGATTTTTGTACTGATTTTAAGGGTAGGTTCCCAACCTACCCTGTACAGGGTTAATGATGGATTTACATATACTTTTCTCTTCTCTGTTTATATAAATTAATGAGTACATATACATACGGCAACGTCCTCGGTGGTCTAGCGGTATAGCACAACCTTTGCGGATTCAATTCCTTGCACGGTACAAACATTTGTATTCATGAGTATGATTGTTTGTTTGTAATAGTTTATTGCAAAACAAAATTATCAATAAAAGGTCACAATTGACTTGGACAACGTGGACTTTTGCTTCTAAAAAGGGAAAAGGAAGTAAATACACGTTTTGTGGTATTCAAAAAGATATTAATGATGGTATCATTAAATAGCCACTTCAATAGCTATGCAAATCCAATGAGCTATAAAAGCTAACTAAAGCAAATAGAATTGTTACAAAAAGAAATAGATACGTCATTCAATATAAGGTCGTTAAAAGCTAGAAAAAATTAACAGTATTTTAGGAAGAATCCACAGTGGATTCTCTACTGATCATTATATATTAGAATGTAAACAATAACAATTACCCATTCAAATCTATAAAGACCTAAACAAATTGTGTTCACAAACTTTATGCGCAAATAAAATTATTTAGTATATTAAATAATACTAGAAAAGTAAATTAATTATATAGATAGATTAGCTGTTCCCGCGACTTCATCCGCGTGGAATGTAACTTTATTTTTCTAAACATTCATTACCTGAAAAAAAATTCCCGTCAAAATCGGTCCAGCCATTCCAAAGATTAGACGGAACAAACAGACAGACATACAAAAATTGTAAAAAATGGTATTTATATTCATTTGCATGTAGTAAAAAATGGTTATTTCATAGATATATAGATTAGGTTTATACATTTACGAAATAGGTGATCTATTTCGTACTGTAGAAACAATTTTCAATGTTAGTTCTACAAAACTATATGCCCAGAACAGTCAAAAGCAATTGCTAAATGCAAACGGTGAAAATAAATAAAACCATTTTTTATTTTATTCGCTTTGTTATTGAACACAATGAGTCGGACAAAGATGAGAGTGGATTAAAAAAGTTTACTCAATACGTCCAATTGTTATAGACAAAACTGGGGGAAAATAAATAAGAAAATATCAAGAAAATGTTTTAGTTCAATATATTGAAAGAAAACCTATTTTATATTTAAGTACATCTGTAAATCTAGTAATATAGATAGGTCCAGCTGTTACTGGGTATCAACCGTAATTATTTCCTTTTGATAAAAAATTAAAAAGTTTAACTTTTAATTTTATCATAACTTAAGCAATTATGTTTTAAATGTTGGCATATTTAAAAATATCGTCTTTGATTTATCAACTTACACATGTATTTATTTAATTTCAGGCATTAGAGAATGATTATGTAAAAATCATCGAAATTTCTAAGTACCAGATTTACGTTTATTAATAGTAAGATTAGTTATAAAATATTTTTTGATAAACCCATTTATTTTAATGGTAATATAAATAATTAAAATCTATATAAATGTATCTACCTGTAATTAAACTCTCACCATATGTTAATACTCATAGTATTAATATCGCGCATACTGACATGACGCGCTCGTCATCCTACTGCATCTGTGCACCATGCAACATTACGCATCTGTGGCGGATTAAGTTTGCGCGGGAAAATTACAAAAGAGAACAAAATGGCTTCTTCTGCAGATGTAATGATAAACTGTTGTACTCCTTATTCTTAATTATTTTATACTGTTCTGCATATCTTTATATGTCTGTAATTTCCTTTTTTATATATAACTGTAGTTATTATTTTAATAAATGTATATATGTGTATATAGTAATTTATACCAAATTTATACCCGGAGCTGACACTCCTAAACTACTTAGAATGTCCATATATACTCTTAACAGTATCTGTTTTCATATCCATTTTTTAATTTTAATATATGTATAACCAATATACAATAGTTTTTATGTAAAAACAATTTTATTAGTAAAAAATATATTTAGCTAAAAATATATAAAGGAAACATTATTATTCACTGTTAGTTAACGAGTACGTGCCTTTGAGCGTTGGCAAACTGTTTTAATTAGCGGCACGATTAAAATTCACCGTGGAGTCAGTTTTCTCTATAAAAGCGAAAAACTGCTTTTTCCCTATCCATGCATAATCATTATAAGAGATATTAACATACATTACAACGGTTAACATGCGCATTTCTAATTCGTCTAAACTTACTTATTATTTATTCATAACAGGGGTGCTAACGTACGAGGTTCCTCGTACAATTGTGAGATTTTTGGCTTTTGGTACGAAGACATTTTCTTAGTACAAGTTTGTACGAATCAAATGAAATCAAATCATAAATCTTTATTCACATAGATCTATTACAGACTTAAGAGTCAGTCTATCGTAAGTGATATATCAAATTTACTATCAGTTCAGAGTGCTTTCAAGCCAATAACTGAAAAGAGACTCATCTCTTATTCTTTTCAAATGAGCTTGTACAATAACACAGATTCAATTTTAAACTAATTTAGGGAGAATTAATGAATATATACAATTTTTACTTATAAAAATCTGTTAAATTACTATGATGTACGAAGTTATAGAGCCGTTGAACTGGTATCTGAGATTTAGTCACATTTATTATTTCTTTGTATAAAGTTGACAACCCTGATTCTCAATGTGAAATTCCTCTGTGTCTACTTAACATGTTATGAAATTATTACATTATCATATTCAGTCAATCAAATTATATAACATACCTTATTTTTAACCCTATATTTCAATATAATAAAAAAATACTTGCAGAAAATTACTAAAATATAATGTAATGTATATATGGACTCTATTCTCCGCATTTAGCCTGTTAATAATTAAAATATCCATAAAATGTGTGAATAGTTTTGAAGTTATAAAAATCAACCGATTTCTTTATATTTCAATATATTTTAGAAGTATTTACTTTCCAATAACAAATTGTAGTTAATTTTTAAAATGTTTTACACTATGTGCGTACGTAGGTTCAAATAATGAGATATTAAATTTAATTTTAATTTAAGATATTTAAAATGAACGTGAATGGAAGTAACGCAATAGGACGTTCGAAGAAAATATAAATTGACTGTTTTACAATATTACTAAGAATAATAATTATGACCAAGAATTAAAATATGTTAATTAGAATACGAGTATTTTTTATTTAAAATTAAAATCTTTGTTTATAAAGGATCATATTATATTATATTACTTATACAATATTCCAGAACATTATTTTATATTATCAAATACTGGTAGAAAATAAAAACATTTGTTCTGTTTTTTATTCATGAATATGACGTTATATCTGGGGAAGCAATTTATATACAAGTAACATGGTACACAATTTCATAAGAGAGTTATTCCAGAAATTTCCGAGATGTCGACAACTCATCGCAGTGTTATTAATACTCATTTGCTAATTTATTCCTTTCCTTATGGAGTAATTATAAGCTCACATCTTGCAAGAGAGAAATAAAGACAAAGTAGATATATCTAAAATTACATATGTAGTTATTTATCTCTCGAGGTCATAATTTGCATTATTAAGTTACAAGGAATATGCATTATATTCATTAACTTACCATTTGATTAGTCTTTCGCAAGCACTCAAGTACACAAGCCAAAATCACTTAAGGTAAAGAAATGTATGTTGAATTTAATAGCCCTGAAGATGAATTACATACACTCGCATCCGTATTATATAAGTATGATGAACGGAAGGTGATTGTTAGTAATGTAAATTAATAACCCCATTGCTAGCAATAGTACAATGTCAGATTGCCAACGCGGTTCCCCCTGGAAACCATCCGATAAAT